AGACGACCAGCGAGTGAAGGCGCTCGCACACGCAGCGGAGTGCTGCTTGGAGAGAGGCTGCGCTGCCGTCCTTCGTCTCGGAGACCACGAGAGGAAGCGCGTTGTCCGCGCTGATTTGTGCCGCCTCCGAACCGGCGTGGCCGTCGGCGACCATGATAAGCAGCAGCGCCTCTCCGCCGGCTTCGGCCTCGAGCCAGCTCATAGCGTCCTCACCCTTCTTCGAGCGTACGCACAGGCCGACAGCAGCCATTGCGGAAGGCGAAGGAAACGCGTGCCCGACGGCAGCCATTGGCGAAGAATGCTGAGCGTCGACACCTGTGTCACAGGACAACATGCAACATCGGCAGACAACCGGCAGGTGTCCCGGTCGGGGGATCTCGGCGACGAGATGAACACGCGCTTGCGCCCCCGCGGCCCTTCTCCTATCGAATTCCCTATGCTAGTTCGTGGGTTTCGCGGGAGTGACCCCATGTGTCAAACCCATGGCCAAACCGCAAACCATATCAAACGGCAAACGCCAGGCCACAGCACCGGACACCGCACACGGGGTCGGGGAGGGAGGCACGTGTAGCACGGAACCTCAACTCTCATAGACTAGCGCGCAGCACACACACACACGCGCGGGTATTTCTTCTTATAAAGATCGGCGATCTCTTAGATGAGGTGCGCTCCACTCATACAATCACTCATACAAAGACCGACGAGATCGAACCGCCCGGCAGGAGCTTGCCGCTTGCCCCCGCGGCCCTTCTCCTAGCCTGGCTGTTCTTCATCTTCCTAACTAACTAACTAACTTCTCCTATCGAATTCCCTATCTATTGCCCCGGCTAGTTCGTGGGTTTCGCGGGAGTGACCCCATGTGAGAGAGATTTTCAATACCAAACAACTCTAACACTCACACGTGTCATTTGTGGGGCCTGGAGCCCTGTTCACGCGCGCGCGAGACAAGCCCATGACCTAGCGGATGGGTTGGAGGGGGGGGCACCCAGGACGCGGCCCACAGACAGACGGACGGGCCAAAAACTGAGTAATCGAGATCTCTGCGAGAGAGTAGTAGATCGCAGACAGGAGATCGCAGACCAGGAGTGGAGATCCTAGCCGATTCTACCACACAGTCGGGCTTGGTTGAAGATGAAAGATTGAGATCACAGATTGTGGATCGTGTTGGCAGTTGCCAGGGTCAAAGGTGGAGATTGGAGATGGAGAACACAGATCGTAGATCCTCGCGCCGGGCATCCACCGCCGGGGCGGAGATTGGAGATCGAGATTGGAGATTGGAGATCGCAGCTGGCGGCGGCAGGGGTCAAATGGGAGATTGGAGATCGGAGATCGGAGATGTGCGGTGTGAATGAATCCATAGCGCATCTCCTTGAAGGTTCGAGCCCCCCCCCCCCCCCCCCGAACCCCGAATCGAGATTGGAGATTGGAGATTGGAGATGGAGATCCGAGATCTGACTGGATCCGGCAAAATATGACGTTGGAGATTGGAGATTGGAGATGGAGATCCGAGATCTGACTGGATCCGGCAAAATATGACGCTGGAGATTGGAGATTGGAGATGGAGATCGGAGATGATTTTTTATTTTTTATTTTTGGCCCGAAAAGCCTGCGGCGCCGGTTTTAACCTCTCCGGCCGACTCGCTGCGCGATTCTCGGTACGGCCCGCGGCGGGGCCGCACCCAGCAAGCTGGGGCCGCTCCTCACGGACTCGGCGCTGACGCGCCTCAAGGAGACCACTACTCGGGCTTGGCTGCGCCGCCCTCGGAGATGTGTCGACGCAAGATTGGAGATGACGCCGCTGTATCTTTTTCTTTAAAAAGCTCACTACACGCATGGTTCCCCCACACCGTAAAGTTAAAACCGGCGCCGCAGGCTCTTCGGGCCAAAAATAAAAAATGAAAATAAAAAATGATATCTCCGATCTCCATCTCCAATCTCCAAATCTCCAGCGTTATATTTTGCCGGATCCAGTCAGATCTCCGATCTCCATCTCCAATCTCCAATCTTCAACGTCGTTTTTGCTTCTCCGATCTTCATCTCCGATCTCCAATCTCCAATCTCGACTTGTGGGGGAGGCGTGTCGGGGGGGGAATCGACGTCCTTCCAAGGGGATGCTCTTTTCCTTTCACACCTTCAAGCGGATCTCCACCCTCTTTTCGCGCCATTTTGCAATCTCCAGTCGGCTACACGATTCTCGAGGCGCCTTTGGCGCGAAGTCAACATCTCCGTCTCCGGCCTGAGATCTCGAGGTGCCGATGGCGGCAGCTCAAGATCTCTATCTTCAGTTAAAGATCTCTGAGTTTTGTGAGAGATGCTGTGTGTGGAAGATCTCTGATCGGCATCTACGATCTCCACTCAACAAATCTACTGGTGTCCCGCAGAGATCTCGATGTATGCAAAAACTCGCCACGGCCAGGCCACACCGTGTCCGTGAGCCACACCCCGCACACCCAAACGCGGGGAGCCGCGGCGCGCGGGGGGAGCGGGAGGTACGTGTTAGCACGGCTGCACGGGACCTCAACTCTCATAGACTAGCGCGCAGCACACACACACCCGCGGGTATTTCTTCTTATAAAGATCGGTGATCTCTTAGATGATGTGCGTTCCACTCAATCACTCTTGAGATGGCATCTGCCAGATATGTGCGGCGCCCCGGGACCATCGACCAAACGGCACGCACAACTCACACCAGTTCCTTGAGGAGGCGCAGACGCTCGCGCATGTCTTGCAAATCGTTTGCAGGCGTGGTCCAGATCGCCTTGGCATGCTCGTGCGCCGCGAGCACAAACGCATCGTCCTCGAAGAGACGATCGCGCGCGTACAGCAGGACCTGCCGCAAGTGCGCCCTCAGGGTGGCGGAGGCTGACAGGACTGTCCCTGTTGCCCCGGCCCTGGCAATGAGGGCGAGGGTGGAACGAAAGGTTGCCTGGGCTCGAGCCTGGGCCTGATCCACCGCCGCAAGCACCACCTCCCTGTCTGCCTGCAGGGCTTCCGCCACAAACTCCAGGGTCCGCCCTTCCTTCCTCACCGCCGCCAGAGCGACGTCCTTGTCCGCCTTGATGACCGCCCCCGCCCATCTCAGTGCGTCCCCGTCTTGCCGCACCGCCTCGAACGCGACAGCCCTGTCCGCCCTGAGGGAGCCTGTCGCGTACTGCAGCGCCTGTCCCGACTGTCGCACCGCTTCGAGCACCACCTCCCTGTCCCCCTTGATGCTGCCCGCCGCATAGCGCAGCGCCATTCCATCCATGCGGACAGCCACGAGCACGACGGCCCGGTCCTCCTTGACGGCGTCGGTCGCATACGACAATGCCCGCGCTACGTACCGTGTGCCCGCCGCGAGCACAACCTCGCTGTCCCCGCGGAGCGCCTCGCTGGCGAGGCCCAACCACGCGCCGGGCCAGGCGCCGGTCGCGCCGGTCCGCACCGCGTCCATCACGATGGACTTGTCCGCCCTCAGCTCGCTAGATGCGTATTCGAGCGCCGTGCCATCCTCCCGGACCGCAGCTCGCACCACCTCCCTGTCGTGTCCGAGCGCCCCGCTCGCGTACGATAGCGCGTCGAGGGCGCTGAAGATCTCGTGCTGGTTTGAAGCCAACGCGCCGAGCAACGCGGCGCGGTCGGCGTCCGACGCGTTTGGCTCTGCCTTGTCGGGGCTTGGGCTCGATCGCAGTGCTGCAATGTTACGAATCGCGTTGCCATCAGAGAGCCGCAGCCGTGCGTTGGATGCGGCGATGGCGGCGCCAAAGAAGAGGGCCGCGGGCGTGCTGAGGGCGCCGACTTTCAGCGCCTCCAGCCGCCTGTACCGCGCCAGATCCATCGAGGGCAGACTCGTCTCGCCCTCAACCCGCAGGTCCGACAGACCGGGCAGCCTGGCCACAAAGAGGGCGTTGCTCCAGACGGCGTCGTCCCGCAGGACAGAGAGCGTCGCGGCACGCAAGTGCGGGGTGAGGCGCTCGCGTAGCGCATAGCACGTGCATGCGAGCGCCCTCTTGCAGGCGAGGGCGACGTGAGGAAGGAGCGCGATCTCAAAGGCGTTGCGATCAAACTCCTCCAGGACGATGGACAGGAAAGCAGAGTCGCCGCTGGATCCGTGCCGCGGGGGCAGGATGGCCGGCGCGCCGAAGAGGGCGGCCGGAGCCGGGAAGCGTGTCCGCGGCCCCGGCGGAGACTCTCGCAGCAGGGGATCTGGGCGCCTGCCCGACATGCACTAGAGGCGCGCTTTGCAGTCCGCAACCGGAGGCGAGAGCAGGAGCGGCGCGTGGGCTTGCATTGTTTCTTTTTCAAGTGACACGCCAGTAAAGCCCAGTTAGGAGGGAGTTTTGTAAAATTCTTTTTCAAGCAATGCCGCTCGTATCCCAAAAGCTATACCAACCGAGAGAGAGATTTTTAGCAATACCAAACAAATCTAACACTCACACGTCATTTGGGGCCTGGAGCCCCTGCAAAATGATGTTTATGGAGGTTTAAAGTTTGCGGGGGGGGGGGGGCTGTTCACGCGCGCGCGAGACGTGCAGACAGGGTTGCCAGGTGAGAGCGAATGGCGCGGTTCACGCCTCGCACAACAGAGAGAGAGATGCGCTCTGCATGGTGGGACATAAAAGAGAGCGAGTACTTGGGCGAGTAGGCCGTGCGGTCGACGCTGCCGCGCGCGACTTTGCGCGCGAGGCGGCGCAGCTTGAGAACGGCGGTGGGCGAGAAGCCGCCGCCGAACGTCTCGTGGAGCAGCAGGTTGAAGTTGTTGCGCTTGACAAAGATCGCGTCGTGGTAGAAACCGCGATGCGCCTTGACGTAGCCGTGGCCGGTCTTGTGGGAGAAGGGTTGGCCGGGCTGCCCGCGCGCCTTGCAGCCCATGTTTAGGCGGCGGGCCTTCTCTTCGGTGTTGCCGAAGGCGTAGGAGTGGCCAACGGAGGCGGGCGTGCCGCCGCTCGAGGCGTTACCAACGCCCGCCGAGGAGGTCTTGAGGAGGGGCGTCCAGAGCTTGACTTCATTCACCTCATCGCATCCTCCCGGGCCAGCGTGGGGTTCCGCGAGGTCGACCTTGTACCCCTCGTTGTACTGCCGGGTGAGCTCTGGTTTCTCCTTGTCGCCGTGCACGACCGGCGCGTTGGCCGGTTTGGCCGGTTAGATTGTTTTGTGTTGTACCAACCGCGGGCGGGAGAAGGAGCCCGGTACGGAGGAGCGCATCGAAACGCACGACCACGCGCTGGCGAGACTGACTGACTGCTGCGTCCATGCCCTTCCTGCTCTGCTGCAGCCTGCTCGCCGCACTCGCAAAGGAGGAGTGCGCCGACTCCTCCTCTCTGGCCGTCGGCCAGCTGGCGGGAAAGCTCGCCGTCATCACTGGCGCATCGCGTGGCGTTGGAGCCGAGCTCGCACGGGTGTACGCCCGTGAGGGAGCGTTTGTTGTGGTGAACTACTTCAGCAGCAAGGAGAAGGGCGAAGCCGTCGCCGCCGAGATCAACGCCGCGTGGCCGTCGCGCGCCCTCGCCGCGCAGGGCGACGTGACGGTCAAGGAGGACATGGTGAAGCTGGTCGCTGATGCCGAGACGCACTTTGGCAGGAAGGTCAGCGTCGTTGTCAACAATGCGCTGCCCCGCTACAAGTTCGACCCGGGCTCATCCATGGCGAGCATTAAGACGGTGTCGACAGAGGACCTGGAGCAGCAGATGAGAGGTACGCTCGCCGGCGCCGTCAACATGGTGCAGGCAGCGCTGCCCTCGTTTGAGGCGTCCAAGTTCGGGAAGGTGGTCAACATCGGCTCCAACCTCGTCGACAGCCCTAGATGGTTATACAGATCCGTGTGTCCCGGCGAGCACTAGAGAGGACACGCAATCAACTGTATTCTCAATTCTAGTTGTAGCCGGTGTATGCACGCGATGCTGCACGACACCGTATTCACACCCTGACATTGGTGAGTTCACGCCGCAGGTGTACAACCCTGTCGTCACGTACTACGACTACACCGCGGCGAAGGCGGCGCTCGTCGGCCTCACGCGCACCACCCAGCCCCTTGCCCAGACACTTCCTTGAGCCTTCCCGCAGGCGGCGCTCGTCGGCCTCACGCGCAACCTCGCCGCGGAGCTGGGGCCGTCCGGCGTGCGCGTCAACCTGGTGGCGGGCGGCCTGCTCGAGACGACCGACGCGTCGGCCCTAACGACCAAGGAGGTGTTTGGCTTTGTGTCCGCCGGCACGCCACTGCGCAAGACGACGACGGTCAACGATTTTGCCGAGGCGTGCAGGTAGATGTACGCACGGTCCAACGCGTCGATTTGCACGACGCGCAATCGGCCGCCGACTGAGAGCACCCGGAGACGACACTCGCCTTTCGATCGCGGTGGGTGGCACGCCGCCGGCCTGCCTCCCAATCACCTGCCCACTGACAGAAGTAGATCGAGGGGAGGAACAGCCGGACCACCGCTGAACGGCGGCGCGTCGAAGAGGGAGTAGCACAGACGTCGACACTCAAGCAGGCGGCGCTGCCACACACACACACACAGGCGTGCGTCTTCTTCGCCTCGGACGCGTCGAACGCGGTGACCGGGCAGAGCCTGTCGGTCGATGGCGGGCTGACGATGCCCTGAGACCACCTCGCCGCTGCACAGCGCTTGCCGGAGCCCGACCTCTCCCAGTGCGGCGGGGGGCTGAGAATACCAAACGGCCACGACCTCAGGTTTAACAGACCGAGGGAAAGCGCTCGGGCGGCCGTACGTCGCCGACGATAGGCTATGCTAGGCCACGTGAGCTGTGAGCTGTGAGCTGTGAGCGTCGCCGCCCGCAGGCAGATTTTGTACGTACGTTGCATGTGGTGCGCGCCTCTCACGAATGTCGAATCGCCTCTGCGGCAGGGCCCCCTCATAGAAAGCATAGACCATAGTCCATAGAAAGAATACTGGTTGGGTAGTAGTCTAAGTTCTGAGCCTCGCGGCTTAACGGGTCTAAGTGTGGCTAGCCACGCTGGAGTGCTTACGCGGTCTAAGATCAGCGGGAGCCTCTTACACCGGCTAAGTCGGCCATGGCACGCGATATACGGCGCTCGCGCCCAAATTTTCTTCGCCTGCGCGGCGGGCGATCGATCCTCCTCATGCTTAGCAATCGCCGCCTCAGCATCCTCCTCTTCCGATTCTCGTTGCTGCTTCTTGAGCGCACTTCGGCGACATCTAGCCAAATAGTTCTCACAAATAGCCTCAAGCTCAAACAAACGCATGTCAGAGAAGCCTGTGTATGCTGGTCCTCTTTGAACGATCCGCGCGTGAGGTAGCATAGGGCCTTGTTGGCAGCAGCCAGCTTGTTGCGCTGCTTCGTTGCGATGAGCTGATTGGGATCGCAGAAGTGCATGCCAAGCACCGCCACAATCTTGAAGCAGAACACATCGCAACCGCATCGTCCGCACTGCCATCGGCATGCCGCGCCCGCCGCTTCGCCGCAGCCGCCTTAAGGCACGCATAGCGTTAAGGCACGCATAGCGGCAGCACATGGTACGGTGCGCGTACTTGAGCAGGCGTTGCGCGCCGCAAGTAGCGCACTGGCCCTGGGAGACGGTGATATGGCGTCGTGCGCGGCATACGCTGGTCGGGACCGCGTCCAGGTATTTTTCGGGTAAACCTGGACTTTTGCAGGTATACCCGGGTTTTGCCCGGAGTTGGCCTCGTGTCGTCTAAGTTCATGGCCCCCGGCCTTCCAGCGTCTAAGTCTGAGCCCGGCTCCGTGCGGGGGCTAAGTTGAGCGCTCGCTCGCTGCAGAGGCTAAGTGTAGAGCGACCCTCTAGCCCTACTACCCAACCATTGAAAGAATCACCGAGATCCGGGGAGGTCGTCGGGTGGGGGAACTGAAGTCTGAACGGCCCGCGGACTTGGAGCACTTGTGTCTTTGAACACATAAAAGAAAAGAAAGAAAGAAAAACGGATCGCAAAGCTAGGGCGGGTTCGAGGACCCAGAGTCCCAGACACGTCCCCACCTTTGATGTTTGAGCGCCCTCCTTCTCCGCCTCCTCCCCCGCCAGCACGCAGCAGCGCCTCGGCATGCCGCGTCGACCGCTCGCCCCCGCCTCCGCCGCCGCTCTCGCTCGCGCGCCACTGAATGCCTTCGCGCCACTGCGTCCTGCTCCCCCCGAAGCCGCCCCGGCCCTTCCTCCCCGCCCCCCCGCGCGCTGAGATGTGCTCGAGGTAGCGGGCTGACCCCCTGGACGTCTCCGGCCCCTTACTGCCCGCTGCCTTGTGGGTGACCCAGGTGTACCCGCATCGCACGAGGAGATCACAATTCTTTTGGCTGGGCAAGGGAGGGCGATATGGACTCACGCTCGCCGGGCGCCTCTGGGGTCCCGCCTGGCGCGCTCTTCCCCGGCCGCGACTTCAGCACCAACACCGCATCCCTCATCAACGACTTCCTCGATGACCCCACCTTCATCCAAGGCCTCAGCGAGACGGAGCTCGGCGGTCCGCTCGCTCCCGCCGCGCCAATCGCACCGGATCCCGTGCCGCCGGGTCCCGGCGCGCTGGCGCTGGCGCCGGGCAACGGCTTGGTCGTCGCGGAGCCCATGCCGGCGGGCTCGTGGCGGCTGGTGGTGATGGACCACAAGGTGCACTGCGACGCGGTGCACTGCCAGGGCCCGCAGCAGCTTCAGAAGCGCAGAAAGTGCGAGGTCGCGACGGTGAGCAACCTGCGGCAGTTCAACATCTCGGTGGAGCTGCAGGACGCGAACGGCGCCGTCGTCCGCGATCACGAGGCGGTCAAGCTCAGCGCGGCCGTCGTGTACGAGAACGGCGACGCCATCTCGCTGCGGCAGAATGAGCAGCCCTTTGAGGAGTCGTGCCAAGTGGAGGCGCGTGCGGCAGGAGCACCGCACGCCTCGCAAAGGGCCGCGCTTTGCTCAGCCACGCCCCCCCCCTCCCCCCAGGCCCTCCTCGTCCGCGGCGAGGTCTCCTTCACCTTGCGGCTGGGGACGCAGGCGCACCGCCGCCGCCGCCGCCGCCTCGGGTCCCGGAGCTTTATATGACACGAGGGGAGGAGGCACGAGATGTGGGGGAGGCGAGGGTGGGAGAGGCGCAAGGGTGGGCGCGAGAGGGGGCGGCGGCAGGGAACGTGAGAGACAGACAGCGCGCCGTGCACTTGAGCCGCTAACAAGCGAAGCTCTGCCGACGCCGAGGTTGGCTCAAGTCACCTCCGGGAGTGAGCGAGGCTCTCACTCCCCCGCAGGTCCTCACGGACAAGCACCAGAAGCGGCTCTTCCGCATCCAGATTAGCGCGCCGGAGCAGCCCGCGCTGTGGGTGCGGCAGCCGCCGCCCCTCGCCGCATCCGCCGCCGCCGCAGCCGCCACAGCCGCAGCAGCCGCCGCTGCCGCCGCTGCCGCCGCCGCTTCCCTCCCTCACCCTCCTCCCGGCTCCACGTCCACGCCCCTCCCCCTCCTCCCCACACCAGGTGCAAACCATCCCGATGCGGTCCGTCGTCAAGCTGCCCTGCATGCGCAGGGACCGCAAGGCTGGGGACGGCCCCGACGGCGGCATCTTTTTCAATCCCCCTGTGGACCCGGTCTGCCCCGTGACGCCGCCGACGCCGTCGGCCCTGGCCGCCCTGAAGGAGGAGCTCAAGGAGGAGCTCAAGGCGGAGCTCAAGGCGGAGCTGAAGGAGGAGCTGTGCGTCGCTCTAGAGACACGAGCGCTCTCACACACGCCAACCACAAGCGTGCCCCAGCGCTTGCGCCGTGTCTACCACGCATCTCGTGCCCCTCCGCCCTCCTCGCCTCCTCCCCTCCTCCCCGTGCCCTCCCCCTCCGCCCGCACCGGAAGCCTCTCCTCCGCGAAACCAGGCGCGAGGAGCTGCTCGCCGAGCTCAAGGCCGAGATCGCGACGCAGATGGGCGCGCAGGCAGTCGCGGCCGCGGCGGCGCGGCAGGCGGCGCCGGCGGCGGCGCCTCTCGCCCCCTTCAAGGTGATGTCGGCAAAGATGGAGGAACTCGGTCTGCGGCGGCTCTGCGGCGCCCTCTCTGTCGCGGCGCCCGCCCTTCCCAGTCCCGCGCATTGTGCGTTCCGATAGGCCTCGACGACGGCCTGCCTCCCGCTGGCCGCAGCCTCCCGCTGGACCGGCAGCTTCCCCCGTCGAGGCACGCGCCCGGACGGAGCAGTGCGGGACACGTCTGCCACGCGCCCCCAGACATGCCCCGGACGTGTCGTAGGCACGCGTCGGACAGGCTCCCGGCGCAGGACGCACAGCGGCGGTGCGTCGTGGCGCCCGCCGCCGTCAACGCCGCCGCCGCCGCCGCGGTCGCCGCCGCCAACGCCGCCGCGAATGAGTGCCCTCGCCCGCCGTGAGGATGAGGCTGCATGTTCGCTGTCCCAGCGTTGCATGTTTTGGATGTATCCCTAGGGAGGAACGGCATGAGCGTGGTCCGGGGAGGTGTGATCGGCCCTCACTCTAGGCTGAGGGCACGGATCCGCGCGCGAACCGATGCTTATTGTTCGCGCCCCGGCCTCGATCGGAGACGGTGTACCCTGTGATGAGTCTCCCCCCCTCTCTCCATCGCGCGGGCGCTGATATGTCGAACTGCGAGATGTGGGGACAAAAAAAACATCTCTTTCCCGCCTGGGCGGGACAGCGGGTGGGCGCGCGGTGAGGCGTGGCGTGTGAGTGTGTGCGACTGCAACGACGGACCGCTCGCAAGAGACCATTGGGTTTGTACTATTACAGTTGTAACAACGAAGGACAGGACGAAGGGACGTCCGCCGCAATTCGGACAATGCTCTTTCCCACGCCCGCCACACGGATTGAGGATGGCTTTACAACCTCACCCGCGATCAGCAATACCGCAGAGCCGTGCACGCGGCTCACCACTCATACCTGCTGGGCACCAACCTTTGGGTCCAGATGCCTATCCCTCTATTGAAGAGGGACGAGGGACGCCTCACGAGCCTACGGAGGGCCTCGACCCGTCTTCTTACTGGTCAGACCACTTCAATCCCCACGAGAATGTCGGCTAACTAGGTAGGTCATAGACCTTCCCGAACCCCGCATGTCCGCATCGGGGGAGGGCGGCTCGTAACTGAGGTTCGCCGTCGGAGACAGCCGTCCTCCCCTCAACCCGACGAGAGTGGGCGGGCAGTCCTCGTGGCTGCAGTCGCGCTTCCGAGCCGACTCCGCCCCTCTCTCCAACCGGCCATTCCAACGGCCAGGCCGCTCGCTTAAGGCTGATTGGCTAGACGAGCGGCCTACCTCCAACGGGGCTGACTGGCACAACGAGGAGAGGTCATCCGGATGTGGCGGGACGCCGCCGGGCACCTGGTTGCTCTCCTCCGCCAGACAGCCCCTCCCGACGGGGACGCCATCACCCTCGCCCAGGGATCTACAACGCTGTCTTAAGGTCCGACAGGTTCGGCACCGGGCACCGCCTCGGTATACAAAATGCGCCTGCGGGCGGACCCTCACAGATCACAGATCACAACGAAGGCGCTCTCAAAAGAAAAAAACACCAAAACCCACCGCTGTCGCGCAGACGACTCATCAGGCGGCGACCCAGGCGGCGACCCAGGCGGCGACTCAGGCGGCGACCCAGGCGGCGACCCTGGCCGGAGAACGAGGCTGCTATCCCGCCATGACCACCACCGTGGCTCGCTACCAGCTCCCGCACGGAGCCCTGTGCGTGTCGAAGGGCAACCTCGTCGCGTTTGACGGCTGCGCGATTGTCAACGCGGCCGACACAAAGTGCCTGTACGGCAAGGGTGTCGACGGCGCGGTCAACAAAGCGGGCGGGCCGGCGCTGATCGAGGCGCGCAAGCAGCTGCCGGTCCGCGCGGGGACGCGCGACGTCCGCTGCCCGGTCGGCGATGCCGTTGTCACGGTCGGCGGCAATCTCCGCTGCCGGCACGTGATTCACGCCGTCGGGCCAAACTTCAATCCCAAGGCGCAGTGGGTGCAGAAGGTGGCGCCGGACGGCGAGGAGAAGCTGCACTCCGCCTACCTGAGCGCGATGCACCGCGCCAAGGAGCACGGAGTCCGGACCCTCGCCTTCTCGCTCCTCTCCGCGGGCTTCTTCCGCGGTGTGCGCGCCAGAGCGCAGCCCAGTCCACACCCGTCCGCGAGTGCACTCTGCCGTGCAAGTCGCCCTGCCGACTGCCCTGCCGCCCTGCTGCGGAGAGCCGCGCTGCTTGCGCGCACGCACGCGCGCGCTGCCCCCACCCCCCGCCCCCCGCCCCTGTGAGCCGCCCGCAGGCCCAAAGCCGCTTGTGGACCTGCTTTCGATCGCGTGCCGCGCCATCCGGGAGGGAGCCTACCCTGGCCTGGAGGAGGCGCGCGCATGCACGCGCGCACGCACGCACACTCACTCACTCACTCACTCACACTCACACTCACTCACTCACACTCACTCACTCACACTCACACTCACTCACTCACTCACTCACACTCACACTCACTCACTCACACTCACTCACTCACACTCACACTCACTCACTCACTCACTCACACTCACTCACTCACTCACACTCACTCACTCACACTCACACTCACTCACTCACACTCACACTCACTCACTCACTCACACTCACTCACTCACTCACTCACTCACTCACACGGTCCTGAGGTGTGCTCCTCCACACAAGCGTTCAACTTCAACCCCCGAGCAGGTGCACCTCGTCTCGTTTGGCGGCGGGGAGGTCGGACCGCTCAAGCAGGCGGCGGGCCGCATCGGCCTCGCCCCCGCTGGCGGCGGAGGAGCAGGCGGCGGAGCAGGCGGTGGCAGCAGCAGCAGCGAGGCGGAGGGGCTGCGGCGCTTCTTTTCGCCGTCCGGCGATACCGGCGGCGGCGGCAGTGCTGGCGGCGGCGGCAGTGCTGGCGGCGGCGGCAGAGCCGGCGGCGGCGGCAGCGCCGCCGCCAGCGGCAGCAGCGGCGGGGGCCCCGGCGCCGCCGCCCCCCGGCCCGGCCCAGCCCCCGCGGGATCGGCGGAAGACGCGCCCATCGTGCTAGACGACGACGAGGAGGAGGAGGAGCCCGCTTGCCGGAAGCGGGCCAGGCACCCTCCTCCCGCGGACGCCCCTCCTCGTACCCTGCACGCGGGCGTCGAGCGGCTCACGCTGCGCGGCGGCGTGCTCGACGACGCCATCCTCGCCCGCGTGACTGCCATCGCGCAGCAGTGCAACTGCGTCGGCTGCGACGGTCGCGGGCTCGCCGACGCGGTCGCGCGCAAGCTGCCGTACGGAAGCAGCTACGCCGACCGCCGCAAGGCCGCCTCCAGCCGATTCGCCTGCCCCGAGGATCGCGCCGTGCCCGGGACGATCGACGTGCGCCGCCCGCCGACGCCGGCGGCCGCGGGCGGCCTCGGGCGGCCGTGGGTGATCAACTTGTTTGCGCAGTGGGAGATGGGCGCCGCTGGAAAGTACAACCGAGTGCCGCCGCCCGCCGGCGTCGTCGACACGGCAGCCGCCCGCCAGCAGTGGTTCCGCGACGGCCTGGCCGCCATCGGGCGCCTCGCCCCCGCACCGGCGTCGGTCGCCTTTCCACACCAGATCGGTTGCGGCCTCGCGGGCGGCAACTGGGCGACATACGAGGCGATGCTCGAGGATTTTGCCACGGCGCACCCGCACATCCGCTGCTACATCTGCACGCTTGCCGGCTCGTGATCGCACTGTCGGCGGCGGGCCGGCCTTGTCGCCTCACGCGCAAATTTGCTGTCCCCGGCGGGAGGGGGGGGGTGGGGGGGGGTGCACGGTAGGCCAGAAAATAAAAGTACAACGGTCGGAAACTCAGACGAGATGGGTATGGAGGACGCGACCACTGCCACCACGCATCCGACTATGTGGTGTCCAACCCCGCGGCCCGGGGCCCCCGGCGCGGGGCGCCCTGGGGCACACGATCTCTTGGTGCTAGCATTCGGCACGAAGGAGGAGGTGGCGGTGGGGGTGGAGGGTGGGGAGGAGGGGGGCGTGTCTGGGGAGATGGGGGATCGGGTGGAGGGAGGAGCGGAGGAGGGCGGCCCATCGAGTGGAGGGGGGTGCGCGGGGGGGGGGAAGCGAACCCGGAGACGCAGACAACAACCGTCACGCGATCATAGACGTGCGGCACGAAGACTGGCCGGGTCCGAATAGTGATGCCTGCAATGGTCCTGGTGCGTGCGGCCGGGGACGCGGGTAACGTCCCGGCTTTTTGTGTGCGTAGTACGTCTACAAGTTGCTATGTCTATGTTCCTCGACCGGCTGAAACCCGCTTCCCCCCACCCCGCCCCGACCATGCCAAGAGCGAAGACTGCACCCCCCCACTGTCTCTTGCAGGCGAGGAAAGCACAACTCAAATCGATGGGCTTGCCCCATCCCGGTTCCCGGAGTGGTTCGACTCCACACTTCCCGCACACAAATCCGAGACGGTGATGGATGCGTCGTACGGTGGTCTCATGCCCAGTGAGGTAGTGCATCTGACCACTCCGGATCCTGCTGAACAAGTTCCTCTTGTAGCTCGATCGGTCACACCGCCATCGCCGTCGGGGAGAGGGGGGACGACACTGCTTCTCTGCAGCGTGCACCTCGATCCTGTACCGTGTTTGTTATGACCCCCTCCCAATGAACACACCAGTGAGTGAGGGTGGGCGAGACGATCGAGGGGTCCCGTTCCATGCGGAATCGACCCTATCCAGTGCTCAAGTGCTCAAGTGCCTTCGGCAACTCTATCGAGAAAGTTTAAGAAAGTTAATCGTAATCGTAACCTCGGGTAGGGATCCCTTATATAGATGTTAAGTGTGGGTTAAGAGGGAGATTCGCGCGAGCTGCGGGACCGCCGGGACGGCGGGCGGGTGATTGCGACTCGCCGCCGCTTTTGGCGACTTTTCGCGACTTTTGGGACGAGCGATCGACAGAGGCCAAGAACGATATGGCGGGCGAGGCCGTCACCGACGGCCATGATCGTGGCTGACGACGGCGGCGACGATCCCCTGGCGGACCGCCGCGAGGACCGGGAGGCGGCGGCGGAGCGGGAGAGGAAGGCGAAGGTGGCGAAGCTCAAGGCGCAGACGGCGAACGCGAAGACGAATGGCCATCTGTAAATTTAACAATAAAAAACAGCGACACATGGGTTGACATTGTAGCTAAGATTAAGAAAGTGTACGAAATTTAAAACTGCATAGTTCTAGTGAGACGCACGTTACTAAATGAGTGGTCTTTATGTGTTTTGAATACTGGTCTGTATGAACCATCTTCAGCCACGTTATGGTCTACTACTACTGGTAAGCCGTCGTATAGTCGTTTGTACATTTTTAGAGGATCGCCTTGAAAGCTTTTATTGCACGCTGCAACGACCGTCTTGTACGTGATACCCTTTCATCTCCAACTCCCAATCGAATTTTCCAAGTCCTTTACCAATTAGTTGTTTTCCGTCGTTCATTTGTGCGTACATAGCTATCAATTCGTCTCTTTTACCGTCTTCATCAACAAAGAAGAATGAATCAGTGTCTCCGTAGAGCGGTGTAGCGTTGCATGCCTCAGCGGCGAAGTGCAATCGATCCATGATTAGTTTGCTCCAGCTGAGAATGTTGACTCCCAAATGAACCCTGTTGTAGTGTTTGCTTGTCGCTTTAACTACTTCAATTCTCGCGTTGGTACCGACGAAGGCGATTGAACGAATTCGTGCATAGTGTTTTTTAAGGTACGCTGAATAGTCTTTTAGTTTAATATATTTGTAATCGATTTCAACCGCTTTCATGGCAAGAATTCCGTACGATGACACCGTACGGTGCCTTCATGTGCCCGGTGTGCTACCTGGCGTATCACCTGAGGTTCACCTGAGGCGTATCACCTGAGGCTAGCTGCGAATTCACTCCAGAGGGAGTGTTTGCGTACGCCCTGTCGCTGCGGCAGGAGCGCAGCTCTGGCACGCGAGTGGGGACGGTCACGGCGAAGGAGGTGGCTGCGTTCTTCTCGACGGAGGGAGCGCCGAAGCGAGCGAGCAACTCGATCATCAGGACTGCGCTCACGTGCCTGGAGAAGGTCCCGCCGCCCGCTGCGGTGTTCCAAGAGCAGAAGGAGGCGCTGAACAGGGCGCTTGCGGAGCTGGAGGCGATGCGCGCGTCCAACTCGAGCTGCAGGCAGGGAGAGTGCCTGGGGGAGACGGAGCCGTCTCTGGCTGCTGGCGACGGAGCGAGCGATCTGGTCGACTTGGAGATGGCAGCGCCGGCCTCCGAGCTCGCGATAGTGCCGGCGCCAGCAGGGCAGCGGTCGGCGGAGGAGGAGCGACTCGCCGCCGAGAACGCGGAGCTGCGCGAAAAGGTGGGAAGGCTGGAGAAGATCTCGCAGGCCGTTCGGGCCCTTACAGCTGCAATCGACGGGCCATAGGGATCAGTCGAATGAGACGGCTGCTTCCATGCGAATGCGAACGCGAATGTGCACGCGATGTTATTGTATGTTATATGAGCGTGTTGACACGGGTGTGTGGGGGATGAAATGCGATTGGCTACAATGATACGAGGAAGATGAGCTGATTTCTAGTTGCATGCGCTCAGCGAAAAGAAATCACGCAGTAAAACATCGGAGTACTTATAGAGGCTACAGCTTCGCAAAAAAGACCCGATGCGCGCCGGGCTGCGACGGCCCGGGATGAGCTCCCCACGATGCGACTAAGTGAGATCAATTGACCTACCGGACCTATAGTCCACCCCTATCATGTCTATACTGACTGCAGACGACCACATGCCACACAGCATCACGCACAAGCACAAGACCCCGGATCGCAAAAAAGACCCGCGGTGCTCACACACACCCACGCGCTCGTGCATGCCGAACCAGCTCTAAAAAAATACCACCGGGACCGCCTCGCCAAGGCGCACAATAGTCAGACTGACAGTGTTTTCCAGTTGTGGCATCCTCGGCAGCCAGAAATAAATGGGGACCGGCAGACGGTCACGCAGAGGGTACGGGGTTGAGAGCATTTTCCAGCGGCCCAGGATGATGCATCTGGAAAATGCTGTCAGTCTGACTATTGTGCGCCTTGGCAAAGCGGTTCCGAAGTTATTTTTTACGAGCGCGGTGGACTTCATCTTGCCGGTCAACTGCCGGCGGTCGACAACTTGCCGTTCGAGCAGCGTCGGGTACCGCCGGCAAGATGAACTCACCTGAAGCTGAGCCGCGGCATGCCGCCCCGCCTGCGGCGTGCCGCCCCCGG